TTTGGATTTTTCCATTTAAAATGGCATAGTTTAAATTAGTATTTCTTTTAAAGTATATTTTTTATCATATTAAATGATAAATAGTTGGTTGGTTATTTATTTTTTTAATTCTGAGCATAGTTCAAAATGCTTATTGAGGAAAATGAACACAGCCCAGAATGCATATTTAAGAAAATAGGTAGAGCTCCAAATGCGCATCCAAGAAAAATGGGTAAAGCTATTTAAAAAAATGCGCATGGAATTTTATTCCATTTTCTAATTTTTTTAACGATTATTATTCATTTTTTAAAGGAAACACTAATGACTCCAAATACACATGCAGTGTTTTGTTGTTCTTTAGCATAATATATTTTTGCTTAGAATTAGTCTCTTGTTTTAATAGTTTTAGCAAAAAAAAAAAAAAAAAAAAAAAAACAATAGAATTAGCATAAAGAGGATCAGACTTTCGAAGGTTTTTTTGATAACGAACCATATGTTCAACATTGTCCCCATCGGTTACCCTCAAAATTAACAAATGATTTGAAAAGTTAAACCATTTTATTTTCTTAGGAAACTAAAATTTATTCACAAAAAGTTCGGAAGTAATAATTAGTATGCTCCTCAGCAGATGGTGTTGTAAAATCTAACTCTCCAACTCTTAAGTCTCTTTTTCAATGGCTCTGTAGTCGTATAAAATGATGTTTTTTGCGAATAATATGTTCTTTTCATAACTGATGTGAGTTTTCAAAAGTTATTCATGACTGTTAAGTCAAGCTTAGCCTATCTAAGCGCGCCTTCCAGCTCCCTCTATGTTTATTCTGAAAATGGCTCAAAACGCTTATGAAGAAGTGCCACAGTTTTGAAAAAGTAAAAAGCGTTTGTGGTCTAATTTTTTCATATTTAAAAACTTACCTCAATGTAGCATTATATAGGCTCATAATCTGCCAAAAATTGGAATAAGGCATTGATTTCGATAAACTTTTTTCAGGTGGAAAATGTCGCCAAATTTGAAATTTTTAAAAAAGTTTAATGTCTTTTAAAATATTTACCAGATTATTCTTTACAGCAAGATGGCATATACAGTTTAAAATTACAGCTTTGCTTTATGTGTAAGGCACTTAAACTGTGGTTTTTATATTTTCCTAGGTGAAAGAAATGCAAAGCATCCTGTTAAGACTTGCATCTTAGTGTTTGGTCACTTTAGATTAAAACTTATTCAGGATATACCTTTTTTAATTTTCTTCGCTGAGCATAATTAATATCTTATGTCATATAAAATACTTAGACTCTTAAAACAATGAATGAAACTTTTTATCGACTATTTTTATCTTTTAGCATCGAAGCTAAGTATATAATTTAAAAAAAACCCATTTGCTTAAATTCATGATAAATAAAACTTACTTTACGCAGCATTAACTCCATAAACCACTTTAAACATAATACTATCTCTTCAAATAAAAACACTTAATTCTTTTCTAATTACAAAATGATTAATTTTTTCAATTATTTATCTTTTTATTTATTTTATTCAATTACGCATAACGAAAATACATACTTAAAAAAAAACGTGGCACCGCCCGAAGGGAATTTTAATTTTAAGAAAAAAAAATTTATATACTCGAATTAATTTCGTTTCTATCTTTGAGTAAATTAGATGAAAAATATAATCCTTCATAAGCTTTTCTGAAGAAAATAAGAGTGTGTTCGTTGCGTTTTATATCGATTTTTTTCCTACGCGGACAAGAAATTCGATGTAAAATAAGGCAATCCAATTTCAAGTAATAAGATTTACTCGTGAGTTGATGCAAATTACTTAAGATTAATTTACATTTTTATAGAAATGATAGTCAGAATACTAAGTAGATTTTTTTTCATTATGTTTGTATTATTTTAAAAGAAAAGCAGAAAGAAAAAATGACACAATGAAAGAGAAACACTTTTCTTAAAAAGTTTATTGGCAAAACATCATAGAAACACGTTCAGGAAATTTACAAATAACGCGACAGTGTCTTTTTCATTACAGTAAAAAAAAGCTCACGTTTTTATTTTAAACTATGTTGAGTTTATTTGTGAATGAGTTTAAATTTAATATGATTTACATAAGAAAAATTATTCTATAAGATTGTTATTTCTTATCAAAAATTTTCTTTATCTAGGGTTGTATAGTGATTCTGCTTAACATATGTAAAAAGTGATGGCAGAGTTAGGAAGAATAAAACTGCTTTAACATGCTTGCAATAATTACAACATATTAATTGCTCCAAAGATCTAGTTTTGAGATTTAAATTCGAAACTGAAAATACAGTAAATTTGTGACTTGTATAAGATAAACTTAGCGACCCATACTTTTTTTATATTCTAAGCAACACCAAAACCCTGTTCTATGAAGTTTTGTGCACATTCAGCAGACAGTTAACTAATTGCTAGACTTTTGCAAAACAGTTACACTTTCAAAAACTAAAACAGTAAATTATACATAGTGATAATATAGATTCTTTTGTAATGAGTTAAAAATTAGGCAATAAAATTGCAGAGAAACTAATACAATATATATATATATNCAATACATATATATATATATATTTGTTGGTAATTCATTAACAAAATGAATTAGGAAGATCGTTACACTCAAAGTTGCAGGAGAAAAATTTCTCCCCATAAAAGTCCTTTTCGTGGCAAACATAGCAAAACATTTATCAAGTTTATAATGATCCTATAGATGTTTATAAACAAACATCAGCGAGATTATTATAAGTTCGATACTTTAAAAAAAAAAAAAAACTTTTCCTAATTGTCGAGCAACAAAAAAGAATTTCATAATATATTTCTGATTTGAGACACGCCGCAGTTTTTATTTGTTTACACTATTTTTAGATTGTATCGAACTACTCGTACCACGGCCTTTTAAGGGTACACCTAATTAATTTTCAATTTTATTTTTTTTAAAAGCCTAAAGAAAAACGTCTATTCCAATACAGCTTAATCTTAATATACTACTTACAGCTATTGGTGCGGAAAAATGCAAGAAGTGTCTTTTTTAGAAAGTGTTTGATTTTTACAAGTTTTCGAGTGTTATTTTAGTGCAATTGGGTTAGAAGATTTCAATATAGTTTTCAAAAGTCTGAAATTTCTATAGCATACACTGAATTTTCGGAATTTTATAAAACGTATTTTGACAAAAAGCAATTAATTTTTTTGTGTTCCTGAACTGTCTTGAATACGTTTTCACGTCTGGCTAGTCTAGACACTCGGCGACTATTTTTGAGCCCTTTTTTCGCGCTTTAATTTTGGAGCCAAATGAAGTTTTTTATATTATCAACAAGTATGTATTTCCAGAGTCATGGTGGCACAGGGCATAAAGCATTCGCCTCCCAATGAGGTGACTCAGTTTAAATTGGTGGTTGGTAGATACGAATTTCGCTCCTGGCTCGCCCCGATCACAGGTACTGACAAAAAATATCGTCTGTGGAAAATGGAATATAGGTTAGAATTCACTTGCCGCCGAGCTAACTGTGGAAAGTTTTGTGGTTTTCCTCTCCATGTAACGCAACCGCGATGAAAATGTCCACCGCGAAGGTTAGTTTGTCCTAATACTTGAACCAGGCGTTCCCTAGCTTTCTGGGCTGACTTTAAAATTACAAAGTTAAAGAGTGGTACATTGATTATTGAAAACTTAGAATTGGGTTGACTGTTGAAAACCATTAGTATATAAAAAAGAAAAGCATATATTTTATCTTAGTTTCTTAGGATTATTCAAGTGATAAAGTGCTTAAATCAGAATCCCAAAATATTAAAATGTGCTAAGTCAGTTTGGATTAGTTTTTAGAATATTTGTATAAAATTTTTTCATAGGGATTTGCATTAGAATTAAAAAGTGATATTTTTTAAATTTGTTGGAAAAAAATTTCAGCACTTGTTTCACAGCTGTGGTAAAATTTTTAAATTAGATGCTTTTATAAGATGTTTAAAAAGAAGTATAAATTAAATTTAAAGAAAAGCAGTTAACCCTTTGAAGCAGATGGGACACTGGTATGGTTTTTATACATATTTTTTCTGACGCTCTAATTACATGCAAAAATGTTTTTTGGTACTTTTTAACTATAAAAAAACAGTCTAATAGTAACTAAAAGAAAGTTGTTTGGTTATCGGAATTATATTTGGAATTATATTTGCAATAAAATTATGAAGATACGAATTAAAAAAAACCCTTACAATTTTTTTTATTTAAAAATTTATCCATAATTAATTTTGTAAATTAAAGAAATTTCAGTGATAAATAACAGTTTTTCTCAGACCTTAATTACTGCAAAAAAGAGCAAACTTGTAGAATTATTGTTTGTAAGTGGTCCACATTTGAAAGATTTTACCTTCAGCGCAGAAAAAGACACCAGTGTTTTATACTGTATTTCATAACCATAAATTATTGAAATGGTAAGTAAAAGATTTTTAACTTACATTGACCTAAATTAATATTCATTCAAAAGGTTCTATGCAGAAACTTATACATGCATTTTTTGAAACATAGATATATTTTACATTAAGTATTTATAATTTTTTTCTCCTATTGTATTTTTCTCACAATATTTAAACAAATTAAAAAAAATTATTTTATTTAATATACAATGTACAATTTTTTTTGTTATTGAAGTATATGTACAAAATATTAATCGGCAAATCTATAAGAACATTACTAATAAGGATGAAAATCTATACTCATATTTCTACTTTGAAAAATATATAAAGATTTTAAGAAATCTTAATAATTTAAAATATACTTCATTATAATACAAAATGCACCAATTGTATCAGCATATCCTAAAATATTTATTGTTCTGTTTCTAAACAAGCTCATTTTTTGTAAAGGGTAAATTATTAAAAAGAAGTGACTTAGAAGTTTATATACTAGTACAGAAATTTATTTGATAGTATTTTAAAAGTAATGCATGCAATTCAGTATATTCGAAATTTTAAATTCTTGAAACATAAATATCAGTACTACCTTTTTTACTATTTATCTTTTCTGTCAATTTTAACCAAATTATTTGAATTATAAGATATTTAACAGAGATTTAAGTGCAATTTTAATTAATTGGTTTCAGCTTCATTGGACTCAGCAGGATTTTCCGTGTTTATATATTCTCTTCCAGTTGCCTTGTTTGGCACGAAATTTCGTGAGAAGGTTGATATAATCGTTCTATTAAACTTGATTGGAAACTTAGAATGAGATGCGTCTTTGTAGTCGAAATTTTCATTGTTAAACTTAGCATACTAGTCGCGAATTGTCCTTTCAGCTATGGTCTTCTCTTCATGCGCAGCGCAAATATTACGAGCAGCTTTAATGGTCTTCAAATGTAAATTAGAAGCAAAAGAAGAAGATTTCGAAAATGCTGATTTTCTTTGACTTGACACATCATTTTAATGATCTTAAAATTAACGTAAATTAACTAAAAAAAGCAATTTCGTGTAGAACAAACATAATCCTTGAAATGATTCAACACATTTATTAATTATAAAACCACGGGGATTGATTTGAATTCTCAATATGAATTTTCAACCCAAAATGTGCTTACTGTTATGACAAGAGTTTTGAAAGTGTATATTAAAGGTGGTGAGCGCAGAACACCCTGTGAAATTAGTACTTTGTATGACTTATTTTGGAAAAGTTATAAGGGTAACATGTTTCGAATTCAGTATCAAATTTTTAAAGTTCAAGAATTAAATTTTAGTATTTAATTCAAAAATTAGATCTTAAATTTTTAAATAAGTATTTTTCTAGAAGTATAAAGTCTAAAAATTTTTATAGCGCGAGAAATTTTTTTTTTTAATTTGCATGTTATACTCCATTTTTATTTTTATTTGTTTGCAGGTTGTTCTTTAATGACACATATCTACTGTTCTGTATTGATTATTTTATAATGATACATCACACTTAATATAGATTATTTGTTTTTTAACATCTGCTTCCTGCAGTAATCCAACGCTTTGATGCTTTCAATCCGCCTTCCCTCGAAATTATTTTTTAGATTTAAATAGTTTTTAATTTCGCATTATTTCAAAATTGATTTGAAACCTCTGTTGTATATTTTTTAAACTTAATTTTATATTAGTGTACAATGTAATTTGAGTGGTAATTACAAAACACAAATGAATAGCCAGTGTGCACTTATAAAGTGATGAACGTGTACGTTAATTTTTTTTAAACAAACTAGTGTAAACTGGACTGACATTTACTTTGTTGTTATAATATTAAATGGTAAAATTTTGTACCTTAAATGTCTATTTTTATTCTTGATCTATCGATTAAAAAAAGTAATTTTGTCAAACTGAAATGATATAGTTAGTTCATGTACGATGTAACACGAATAATTATGGAGTATAAAGTAAACAAGTTTTGTTTCTGCATAGAAGTAATAATGCTTTCTCTTATTTACATGGTTTATATTGCACATAAATTGTATGCATATCACATCAATATGTTTTGGACTAAGCACATGATTCAATGTATACACACTATTTACAATCAGCCAGAAAAATGTTACATTTTGTTTTGCTTGTTTTTAAATAAATATATTTTCTGTAGACTAGAAACACACTTTCAAGTGTCAAGATTTGGTCACATAGATGAAGAAGTCAGTTCATTTCGAGGGCCAGAGTTTTCCAGCTTCAATGGTGTTATCACTGAGATAAATCACTCCTGAAAAAAAATTATTTGTTAATGGAATAAAAATGCAGGTTTATTCATAAGATCCTCTGGATTTTGTAAAAGAATTAAACCTTGTACAAATTACAGGAACAATTCAAGTCTCATTACAACCCTTATAGGTGTTCTGTACACGAACCTACAGTCATACTGCGTGCATCAGTTCCTAGTATTCATTCAACATGTTACTATGATGGTGACAGCATGAGAACGTTTTTTATGGGGCAAAATAGAAGAGCTCTTTTTTTAACTCTTACTTATACCAACACCTCCTAGAAAAGAAGTCACATTAATAGTTTATTGTTTCTGGTAACCCTTCGAAAGTCCGAAAGTTGTGAAACTGTTTTTATTTCCTCCCTTTCTACTACTGCGCAGTTTAGTAGTCCGAACTCGGCGACACCTTTCTTTCCTCTACTGCAGTTTATATTCATTACCAAATAGATACGTGCCATGTCTCTTTCTTTTATAGAAGGTGTTGATTATCTTCCATATATATAAAAGTTAATGTTTGTGTGCGTGTCCTTTATAGACTCCTAAAGCAATTATCTGACAGCTATGAATTTTGGCATACAGATAGTTCAAAGCACGAGGAAGGTCGCGGTCGATATTATAACATTCTATGACAAGCGGGATGAATCGAATTTGCTAACTAAATGGAATTTTCTGACTGCTTAAGCGTTAGCCATTGTTTTAAATTTAACAGTTCAATTTTTCACATATTTTAAAGATAACATCAGAAAAAATTGCGAGCTTACATATCAAAAAAATAGTTTATTGCACTAGTTTAAATATTTAATTATTTTATATTTGCTATGTCAGATAAATTCAGTTAACATAACGTTTTAACATGCGTGATCTACGTCACCAAATTTATCGTTTGTCTGATATTTTATTTTGTTTATATTAATTCTTTTAAACGGGTTTCTAAAAAATTACTTATTTAAAACAAACAGTAATGGAATAGAAAAAAAAATATTTATATATTCAAAAGCAAAATTAATGTGAAAGCGGTACTAATTCGTTTAAGTGAAACATAAAAAATCGACTCCAATTGGGCTTAATTATTTAAGGTAATATATGCATATCGAAATAAAAGAAATAAGCTAGTACTAGAAAGCAAAAAAAATGGAATAATGGTATTTATTTGTCTAGAAGAACCGTAAGAAATCGTCATACTATCATTGACGACATTGATGCTTAATTAATCTTGGTAATATGTATTAATTGAAATTAAAAAAAGTAACTTCTGAACTGAAAAGCAATGATAAAGCGAAAAGATACTTATTCGAGTTTCGGGAAACCGTAAAAGATATGCTTATTATTATTGACAATAATGATTAATTAATATTGGTAATATGTATTAACTGACGTAAAATAAAATTAGCTATGTGCTAAAAAGCCAAGCTCATGGAGGAAATATTAATGGAAAATTTGTTTAAGAAAAACCGTAAAATATGGCCATTCACTGATGACTCTCAATTCATATGTATCACTGACGGTAATATGCGCTCTACTGTAATTGGCGAATTGGTTTCGATGCATTGTAGATTGCGGAATTCTACAATGTATTCCGCAATCTGGGAAATATGGTCCATATAGCATAACCGGGAGAGGCTTAGTGTTAGTTTTTATTTTTGCGCCCTTTTCTGTATCTCGAGAACTTTTTAAGCGAATTGAAACATTCTTACACTTAATTAAAAAATTTGTTTATCCAAAGATGATTCCGAGCAAAATATAAATTTCCGTAAATCTTCGTTAATTTTTATTTTTTTACTTAAGAATGGTCAAAAAAATTTTGACGTGTGAGGTATACAATTTTCGACGTCTTTTTAAAGAATGTAATTTTTTTACGGCAAAACTCAAAATTTGAGCCAAACTGGTCGAATAGTTCCTGAGTAATCGAATATTAAGTGTTAAGTAATTTTAAGTGCTTGAAGTTTTTCAATTTTTTACAACTTACTAAGAGGATGATATTTTAGAGTTCTAGATGTCCAGGTTTTGTGAGATTTTTGAACCACCTTTACTGATTTATTAATCTAGTTTGAAAGTTTAGGTCGAATGGAAGAGGAACGTTGCAAAAAATATTTCGGTCGGTACTTTCTCCAATGCAGGTACCGATGATTTTTAAACTGAACTACAGAAACTTTGAATATGTTAATAAAAATTACCTTTTTCAGACTGTTGCTTTTCTTCATATTTCTGTCCATAGGCATGGACTAAAAATGTTGTAATGTGAGAAATGAGCCAGCAAAGGACAGTAGCAAGCCAGAACAGTGGATGTAATGGCAGCTATGTAGGCCCAGCCAATCCTACAACCCGCTGGATAGTATATTTCGGACAGGGGGCCACAATGGATTTTGGCAAATGAGGATCCCAAAATCAATGGATACATCAACAGTGACGCAGCCTGGAGAATAACTGAAAGGAAAAAAAAGTTTTAAAATATAGTTTAAAGAAACATACAAATAAATTAATTACCAAAGGTGATTATTTTTTTTAGCTTCGAATTCCTTCATTAGTAAAACATTTGAAAATGAGACTTGTTTAATTCTGCGGACAATGAACTAAAACTTGAAATAAATTATTCAAACTGAATCATTACTTTGGCATGGTTACTATTTGCGATCGTATATCTACTTTCACTCACTAAAGATGTTTTACCGTTTCAGTCGTTTATCTGCTCTTAACCACCAAAGCCTTTTATTTTTACCGTTTCAGTCATAGATCTGCTCCTACTAACCACCAAAGCCTTTTTATTTTACCGTTTCAGCAAATCGTATGTCTAATCTCAGCCACCAAAGCTTTTTCTTACCGTTTCAGGGCTTTATGTCTAGTCTGAACCTTCAAAGTATTTTTTTCAGGTGGTATGTCTACTATCAGACACCAAAGTTTTTTTACCGTTTCAGATGGTATGTCTACTCTCAACCATCAAAGCCTTTTTTTTCGGGTAGTATATCTACTCTCAGACACCAAAGCTTTTTTTACGGTTTCAGATCTCATGTCTCTTTTCAACCATCGAAGCCTTTTTTGTTTCAAGACGTACGTCTTAAATCAGACGCCAAAGTTTTTTACCGTTTCAGATGGTATGTCTACTCTTAATCATCAAAGCCTTAGTTATACTCTTAGCCAACACAGCAACGAATCATGCTGATCATTTGGCAGTGCATAATCACGTAAACAGATAGACAATGGATATGTATCACATTCAAAACGATATTTTTCACATTTTTAAGCATAATTGCACTTTCTTTTTTCTTAAAAATAATTTTTTTTTCCACATTATCCATTCATCTAATATTATCATATTTATCCAACAAAAACTATTTCTGATAGGAATGATAATTATGTACAAAATGACTTTACTAACGACTGCTGACTTATTATGAACCTATAATACCACCGCAAATGTTCAATTAAATTATCCCTTAATCCTCTTGTAACGTTTACTTTATTCAGGCAAATGATTTTGCAAAATTTCAATGCACCACTGTGATCTTACCGTTATATATATATATATATATATATAT